ACAAACAAAAACTCATCGACATCACTTGGTACAAACAAAAACTCATAAACATCACATGATACAAAACAATTACTCATCAACATCACTTGGTACATTGTACAAATGGAAAACTCTTCGACATCACTTGGTACAAACAAAAACTCATCGACATCACTTGGTACAAACAAAAACTCATAAACATCACATGATACAAAACAATTACTCATCAACATCACTTGGTACATTGTACAAATGGAAAACTCTTCGACATCACTTGGTACAAACAAAAACTCATCGACATCACTTGGTACAAACAAAAACTCATAAACATCACATGATACAAAACAATTACTCATCAACATCACTTGGTACATTGTACAAATGGAAAACTCTTCGACATCACTTGGTACAAACAAAAACTCATCGACATCACTTGGTACAAACAAAAACTCATAAACATCACATGATACAAAACAATTACTCATCAACATCACTTGGTACATTGTACAAATGGAAAACTCTTCGACATCACTTGGTACAAACAAAAACTCATCGACATCACTTGGTACAAACAAAAACTCATAAACATCACATGATACAAAACAATTACTCATCAACATCACTTGGTACATTGTACAAATGGAAAAATCATCGACATCACAAGATACAAAACAAAAACTCATAAACATCACTTGGTACAAAACAATTACTCATCAACATCACTTGATACAAAACAAAAACTAATCAACATCACAACATACCAATGAAAAACTCATCAAGATCACTTGATACAAAACAAAAACTCATCAACATCACATGATACAAAGCAAAACCTCATCAACATCACGTGATATAAAAAAAACAACATCACATGATACTAACGTTTTGAATGATGCTATGGCTTCAGATCAATATATCTATATATCATTAGAACAATTAACGTGCTTACTTTCGGGGCTTTTATGGTTTTATCTGATTAATCTTTTCTTAGCCTTTGATAGTAACATTGTTTACGATTAATGTACAGATAACCTCGAAAAAATAAATCATCGTAAATGTAAACTTTATTTGTTTTACAACAATTATGAAGCATGTTTTTAAAAATTATATTTATCATCTTTGTTAGCCCGGCTGAAAGCGCAGAGGGGGATTTAGTGTAATAGAAAACCCACGTGGACGAGGAGTTGACAAAATTCCTCTTCACGTCCGATCGGGGAATCGAACAACGGCCGTCTTGATAAAAGGCGAGCGCGCTATCCGCTGCGCCATCCGAGCACCTAGTCATTAATAATGATAATGATAATTTGAGGTTCTTGTATACCGCTTTATCACAACCTAGTTCGTAGGTCGTCTTAAAGCGGTTCACAAATTATTATCCGTGGTTATAGGGCCTTTGCAACCAGCCAGTAACCTTCTCAAATCCCTGGAGAACATACAGCTATTACTGCCATTTCGGCGCTCACATCTAGCATTCAACAATTCTAGCAGTGCACAACCACGTACTCATTTACAGCTGAGTGGACTGGAACAAGCGAAGTAAAGTATCTTGCTCATGAATACAGCACAGTGCCGTGCCGTGACTCGAACCAGCTACCCTTCGGTCACGAGCCCGGCGTCCTACCACTAGACTACCGTGTCTCCTTCATATTGCTTTCACGCGAAAAAGGTTTTATTGTCTTTGTTGTAAAGAGCACTATAAAGCAAGTAGGAGCATCACGTCGACGAGAACACACTGATAATGTGACATACGAAAGTCTGAGAATATGACGTACACATTTAAAAAAAAAAATTGAGATCAGAACGTTCGATTAACCTCGGTAGGATTTCTTATCAAGAAAACACGATAAAAAATGAAAACAGTTTCCCGTCACTCTTCTTGCGTGACAGTCCTGACAAAAATGGAATTAACATTTTCCCAGATTTTAAAAAGTCATTTTGAAACGACATTCATGATTTCATCCTGTGTTTGTTATTAAATTGGAATCGGCTTTTTACAACCGATTATAGACACGTTTGTATATTTATCGGCTATATTAAAAACAAACAATGGGGGCTTCAATCTTGATTAATACAGAAGGTAAGACCGCCATAGCTGTCAAACCCAACAAACCACTATCTTGCTATAAGATCTTGAAGCAGTCGATATTCCTATCGTCTGCTAGTCACTGGAGCGGGAGCTATCACGGGAGATTTCAATCATTATTGAAAACCGTCTCTAGCTATGTTTTCTTAAGAAACAACAGTTGAGCCGTTTTCTTTGATAGGGTATTAGTGCAATGTTGAGACTTGTTCTTAACTTTAGTGGAAACAGGATCAAAACCTGACATTTCTATGCCCATTCTCATATCCTAATGACAGGCGAATCAAGACCGTTTTGGCCATTTGTTTTCATAACAGATAGACGCTTAAACCGCAGCTCATGTTTTGCTTTTGAGAATTACGTGAAGTAATTGCTAAATCAGAAGTCAATATCCTTTGTCAATATGATGCAATAGAGCACCATATCTTTCCCTAGAGTCGACAATGACTTGCGTCTATGTATGATTGATCAATATGCTAACGCTTAAGATGATCCAAGATTTGTTGTCAATTAATATTTTTGCACAGGGGATTTTGGTGAAGTTATCGATTACAAACCACGACTGATTAGAAAATATAAAGGGGGTATTGTGTGTCGTCAGTCGTGTGTTTCTAGAGTGTACTATTTGTCTCTCATATAGCGGTAACCTTGGGTATGTTTTGTTGGTGGTATTATTATTAGGCACCTAGAACGGGATTGCAGATTACAATTTGGGCTCTGCCAAAAGTGACATCTTAAGAAATTATGTTGAAAATATGTACGACAAATTGAAGGCACGTTATTGACATGTGTGGTTTGAATTAGTCATACAATGTATTACCCATATGAATGTGGGAAATTAGCAAGTGCCTACACCCCAATTATATGATTTTAAGGGAATTAATATTTTTTCTAATTACAATTATTGTTCATTGTATTGCAGATTGGTTTTTCCAAGAAAGGCAGAAACCGAAACATATTTTAGATTTTAAAGTTAATTTCGGTTAAGCTGCATGCTAGTTTTATTTTTAATTAGATACTCAATGTATGTGGTACATGTATGTTTACACATGTAGAACGTACAATAAACAGTTGTACTTCATTGTTTATTAAAAAAACACATTCTTCACCTAGAAATGATAAAAGACAACGGCAAAACCTGAAATGACCATAAACAATTGGAAAGACATATGATGATACCAAAAGATATAATTGGAAGCGAAACTATGTGCTTTGAGAAGGAACGCATTTCCTGCAAATTGCAGAAGGCATGTAGCTTAGCTCATCAACAATCGTAGACAGAGTGAATAAGTTTAGCTTATAAAACTAGTGAACATTGAAACCTTTTAAGTCGAAAGCAGGTCATAATGGCGAGCGTAAATGTCATAAGCTCAGATTGAACCCTCTTGGGTACAGTAAGTAATGATGGTTTTCTAGTTTATTGTCCAACAGACACGTCTATCCATAAAAACCCGATACTTAGAACAGATTCCAGATTAGGAAATCTAATGTGATATGTAAACTTAGTAAGCATAGGAACTTCGATGTTGCCTGTCCTACAGGGTCAAAACAGCTGTACGGAACAGTGCAAACATGATTTACAAGTTTATAGTTCAATGCGAAAGAAAAGTTTAATTATTTTGATTTCAAAGCTGCAGATAATTATGATATCCATTTTGTCTGCGTAATAATACCTAAAGAAAGACCTGTACCAATTCGCAGATGCAACGATATTTTTTAATTGGTAATAAAATAAAGATAATTTACCAATAGGAACACGTGTGCATGATTTTTTTGCTTTATTTATCATGCACGTCAAATACTCTCCCAGAAACCCCTCCCCCTAAAGTAAACAAGTAAGCAGTGTGTAATTAGTCTTGGATAAATTTGCTTTCACGAGTGAGGGTTTACGGATGCGTGGATATATCGAAGAGATTCTACGTACATCCAAGTAAAAATGAGGAACAAAATAGTACCACTGACGACAGCGTCCAGAAAATGACGAATCATGTGTTCTCGGCAAGAGCAAAGACACGACAGTCGTTTCATTTTATTTCCACTTGATAAAATATCATATATGAACAATTGTTTGCATACTAATCGGCCCTTTCTTTAATGTTGTCGCGCTCGTTGTATTATGTTTATACTTAATGATGTTATACGCATATCTGCTGATTATTTCTTATGACACCTCTGTCATTACATGTTTTTCTTCAAAAGTATACACAGATTAACGATGGCATATCAATGTAAAAGCATGTTAAGTAATTTGTCGATACTGATATTTGATTACAACCGTTTAACATGCACATACATCAGTGCTGCTGTTTAACTGTAATGCTTCTTATGTTTAGCCATGCCATGCATAACATTTAATCTGGTCTTAACCCAATACCAATAAAATTAAATTGCATATTCAATTCGGAATATGCAAATGTTTGGATCACTCATTTTTTATTTCAAGCAAAAATGCACTATATTTTTTTTTTTTTTTTTTTTTGCGTGTTATTATGACAAATTACCGCTATAATTTGTTATTGTTAGATATAGATTTTGATTCACTATGTCCGCGGAAGTTGTGTCATGTATACATGCACATCTTAAATCACACATCATTCGGAACTTTCACTAAAAAAAGGATTATCCCAACTACAACAGGGACAATCAAATGAGATGTATGATACATTGTTTTCAAGGGTGAATGGCTACATTTGCAGACAAGAAACTTATCTGATTGTTGAAAAAAAAACGACATGACACCATTATAGTGCATTGTCCGAAGAAAGTATCAGAAAGATGGAAGACGATTAAGTAGGACAATATTTGACAGTATATGTTTGGGTATTTTGAAACCAACACATAGGAATCTTCGAAGAAACAAAATGCTCGTCTTTGTTCCTGAATATATATCTGTTTTTTTTCTGTTTGTCATAAATATCAAGAACAACACAGATCAACTCACCATTATGTCGTCATAATCGTCGTCAACCCGACAGGGAAGGATAGCTGTCTTTCCTTCAGCCACGGTCACGTTGACGGGGATGTCCTCTACGGCGTTCCCCATATCCGACAGCGCTGAAAACACATATAGACCGGTAAGCACGCAATTTCAGGACAATCGACAAATTAACACAGGCACTAAGTGTAATTCTATTCCCCAAACATTGCGTCATTGATAGACGGTCCGTTTTATACTACCAGAATGTTCCATTACGCTAACACATATCACTTCTGTGGTCTACATGGTCTATAAAACAGCTTAATGTGTTTTTCCTAGACTATTGGAGCATTTATTTACATAACAATAACCCTATAGGAACACGGATATATTTGATCATAAATGTGTTTCATGAAATGAGTCTATTAATTACTAAAAATTCAACGAAAAGAAACAAATCTTTAAAAATGTGTTTAGAATGCTAAACAAAGTACCCATTTTTCAACCAGATTGCTTTTTTTCTTCTGCTCTGGATTCGTTTCTAATGGTTAAAAGATTAAAATAGTGCATCTCTGAACCAACCAAGGATAGCACAGCTAGTTGCTGTTAGAGGATCGTATGTAAAATACTGAATAATAATGGAGACTTTATTGTGTTAATGTCATTTAAAGATGTTGTCTATACTATAAAAGCTGATCATAACATATGGCTATAACAGCAAAGATGGAGTAAAACATCAAATGTCATTTATGTAAACAGTTAAATAAAGAATCTGGATATAAAGTTTCGGCTGATATTAAGGACAGTTATTCCATCGACAGAACCAATCTTTTTGATTGGGACTAATGATTAACACTTGAAATACGAAATTACGAAGAACCTATTTTAAATCTTTTCAAGTTGATGAGAAATCCAAAACGACGTTGTCGTGTTTCCACTACATGGCCATTTCTTCGCATTGGAGAGCACTTCGAAAGAAAGAAGTCATGTATGCTGGAAAAGGCATTGGTCCGATACTTTGATGGAATACATTTAAGATTCTTCTTTTCAGATTTGAAATAACCATTTTGTTTCACTGAATGTGAAATGATTGTAATTATTATGTTGTTTTTATGTCACCAGTGATGCATTGATATATATAATCACTAATTTGTCCGATCAATCTGGCAGCGTATTTGTACACAACCTTAACAAGGTATTGTGTCTTACAAACAATCAGTTACAGTGCAATGATTGCCTTTTGAAGTGTATTAAGGGTAAGCGTTAGTAAAAGTCATGTTTATTCTTTTAGATACACAAATAATATCTTGTGTTCAATCCTATTTCTTCCTGCGAAATAAACACCCTCGATGTTTAATTTATTTTATAATGCAAATGCACTAACATTCAAACCAATTTTAAACGTAAAGAACATCAGCTACGAAAATAAAGAAACAAAAATGTGTTAAATTTTGTTTCAAAATGGATCCCTGCCTGATTTTCTATTTGTTTCCCTCTTTATTTCACAATCAAATCAATCAGCTAACCCAATAAGGTCCTAGATAAAAGTGTAGGATAATTATTATTCCTTGGAAATAGTGCCAAGTACCTTCCTTTAATAATCCTTATACAGATTGTCAATACACAAAGTTTGCCTTACAGCTTGAAATTAAATTTGTTAATAAAATTTTATAGAAGGAAAATGAAATGAAATCAGTGTATTGCTGCATGGTAGAACAAAGTGATCGGCATGTTCAAAAATTTGTATTTGAAAAATAATGCCATTATTTAAAATATAGGCATACGAGTTCACAAGATTAAACGGCAAATATGATTAATCTTGTTATTTGAGCAATTTAATCAGAACAATCATGTAAACAATTTCATGCTGAACAATGGAGATGTTGCCAGAACCTCTAAGGGCATGTAAAATTATAGTATCTCAACATGCTATGCCTTTCCAACAATACTAGCTGTACCATAGAAGTAGTATCAAGCCTATACATATAATTACATCTAGGGTTACTACACATTGGATTTGACGATAGAAATGGCATCAGGCAACATTTTACTTCGCCTTTTATGAAAACTTTCATCAAGGACAAAGATCGCATAAATCACATTGCGTTTTTGGCTCATAAATAAATGATTGTCCCAGTATTTCATTAAAAAATATGAAAGGAACTGAATAAAATTTGCGGCAGGAAATTTCTGCATTTGTTGCATTTTAATAACATTCATAAGTGTTTTAACTAACAGTGTATTCACAATGAGAGCCGATGAATTAAAAATCACAGTTAATAACTCTCGCCAACAAACCAACGTCTAAGATTTATTGATTTCCACTATTAAATGGTTAGCCATCAGAAACACCAGGAATTGTTTAACTATGGATTCGTCACGTTTTATTGTGTAAAAAATATATGCTGAGTTCACGAATTATTATACATTTGTATGTATAAACCATGACTAGGGTATCTACAAAAAGACAGGTGGGTTTATCTGCCAAAACATTATGAAAATCGCCGTTACTTATTTAACTCATAGCAAACCTCTGTCAACAAGGTTCCAAGTAAACAGGCAAGCCATTGATAATGTTCTTATCGTCCTTATGATCTCTCATATTTCTTTTCAATAAAGAGGGTAATAACAATCAGTCAACATGTACTGAGACAATGTCTAAACGAATTGTTGAAATACATTTACCACATAGCGGTCACTTACCTCACACCCGAACAAACAAATGTCGTGGAGAGGGGGTACAATCATGTGCGCCGAAGAAGGGAAGAGCATTTTGGTATGAACTGTATTTATTCAAATTATATAAAGTTTTTATCTAAAATCTTTCTATATTTTGAGCTATTGAGATGGGCACCCACCATATATATCTCTTGTCAAAGCTAGGACATTTTGTCTGTAACCGTAAACCCCCACCCCCACACCCCCAAGTAAAAAGAAATCTGTTAATGGCGATAAAGTATTATCAATAGTGCAGATACAGTGTTTTAATAATTCTATTTAATGATAATACATTTACTTATTTAAATATTATTGAAGCATTTTTGAAAAAAAAGGCGTGAATCGTCTATAACTAGCCGTGAAAACAATGTGAAAATGTAAATCAAAAAGAAAAGATTACGCGTGGGTGTCACGGCGCTACAAATAAAGGCGCTTGACGTCACACTTTATGTAATATTCATTACCTTGTCTAAAACAAAATACTATGGGTGATAAACTCATGGACAATTCAACCTTGTCATATCGTGGCTGGTTCTTTATGCTTCCCACACGTTAATGGAGGTTTATAGAGTTAGCATTGAAGCACAACAAAGATTGTCTGAGAGGCGATATAGCAAACATAATCCAATAAATTCGCTCAGTTGTGTTAAGTTTGCATACGTTTTGTATACAGAGGCGTAGCGGAACCTCCCGCGCGGTCCAGGAGAAATCACATCAGATCTGTCGAAGACTTCACGGACCGTTCACACACTGCTGCAGTGTTTTGGCTCTGCGCGTCTTGTCTCTATCGGGCCCTCCGAATAACGAGGACTAGTCACGCTCAACCCAGAGCCTTTTGAAGCAATTAAACATCAACGGATGAAATTATACAAGAGAAAGAGAGTCCCCTCGATCGATATAACATCATTTTGTCTGTCCATAAATAGGTTGGTGAATTTCGTTGTGAAGATCCTAACTCAATATGGTAATCATACAGTATTGGCGTATCCGAGCCTTCATGGTATTATTCCAAGAAGATCAAAGTCTCCCGCCGTTCCTAATTAACAGAATTCCCGTTCGAGGGCAGCACCATGGGTCCGGCAGACCAAATAAAAGTCATAGAATGACGATAGAGAAAAGAAAAATTCATTAATTCTAATAAACCGTAATAATAGAAGTGTTTGTTTTTCCTGAGCGACTTTGCTAGCTATGTTCGTTAGTGGTCAAGGCGAGTGGCTAAGTATATCCTTATATAGCGGACGGCAGTCGGCGAGTAAGCAAAGACGGGATTTGTTATGAATCCCTGTAATTCTATAGTAATGCAGGGGATAAAATCCTCACTCGGAGGCCTCCTCGTACAAACTAATCCTGTGGCACTCCTCGTCCTAAACTCTTCTGTTATTATTGATACAGGAGTTAATAGTTTACATACCAATCATAATTCGAGTCGATGCTTTTACGTGTAGCAAATTGCTCGTTAGACTGGTGGTATACTTATATACATATGATAGTGTTTGATTTCTTACGATGCTTTATACATGTACAAAATAACAATGTTGTATACAGGGATAAACCGGCATAACAAACGTAGTTGCGGAAAGGTATATAGTTGTATATAGCTAGATTCGTAAAATCGCAAATTTGTCTCAGGAATGGAAAGAATACTGAGGAAATTTCAAGAAACTTAATAACAGTCGTCCAGTCCGTCAGGTGTGTGGTAGGTTATTGCTACATGTAGTAACACGTGTATATGTACTTCCGATTACACATAAATGCTGAATTGAAAAATACGGTACCGCTTCTGGAGTGACATTTTACCAAAGTCCGGAAATTAATTTTCATTTTTTTTGTATGTAATCGATAGATAAATTTGAGTATCAGAATATCACCGAAACCGATTTTAATATGGCTTTTATTATTGAAAGAATTTTCTATAAGAAAAGCTTACACGACGAATGCACGGATATTTAATTAGAAACCGTCGAATGACGTATTATGATATCATATCCTACCGGAAGTTTATAATAAGAGTTTTCACCTTGTACACTTTTATCAACTAAACATCTGTATGGAATTCTCCCTTTTATTATCGAGGACCCATATACATTTTAACCTTCACTCTGACAATCAAATCACGGCAGACACATGTACTTCATTATGCATGTTTCCGTGGTTTGATAACAACAGAAACATTACCATCCGTTATTACTGCACTGACCTATCTAAACATTACGCCCTAGCTTTGCATGACCGCCGTAATTCGTAACCATTCGTGCTGTTTCATGACATGATCTGCATGAATAAGTAAAGTGGCTTCCGGATTGTTATGTTTACCGTTCCACTAAGTCTCACTTAGAACCTTGGGAATGACAAGCAGAACAAAGACGTAGATTTAAGTTTCCTTTTAAAACATGTCATACACATGTCAGCAAGCGGCGAT